TCGTAGTGGCACAGCATGTTGCCAAGAGAGAGAGAGAGAGAGAGAGAGAGAGAGAGAGAAACTGAAGGTCGAGCGGGCACACGTTTAACACATAGCGGTTTTGTATGTTGATCTGCGATGCAAATTGCGATCAGTATCAAAATACGTATTGTGCGTGCGTTTCTTTTTTTATTGTGCATGATATGACAATCTGTAATATTGATCATATAGTGATTTTAATTAAGTTTCATATGATATGTTTTATTCATCATATGTTATATTTTATTTTATTCAGAATAAAAAAAATAATAAAGAATAAAAATTATGATTTATATATTCATAGCGATTTGTAACTATTAAGTTTCATTTGATTTATAGTTAGGATAAATTTCACAAATCGAAGTAACTGCGATTTATTATAGTAGCTTTTAATTGTTTAATTTAAATAGATATATTTTTCTTTTTTGAATTACAGCAAAACTAAAATTAGTTTTTTATAACATAATTTTACATATGTATTTATTTCCAAATTGTTTTAAAGTAATGTTACGCCAGTCAACGATCAGTTAATTTAAATTAATTTAAATTTGTTACATTGTAAATCGATAGTGCATGTGCGTACCAGTATGTAACTGTTTGCAATAAATAATGAAACTAAACAAGAAACGAGTGTCCACTCACCTGACGAAAGAGGTACTATTGTCGCATCAATGCATATTGCATTTCAGAGTAGGACGGTATATTCAATGTGGGCGGTACATCTCGCGCCGCGGCATCATTTCAAAAGTTACGGAAAAATGTGAAACAGTTCAATTGGCGGTAACTTTAAGGAAGCTCGTGAATTTTAAAAAACGTCTTTAAAGTAAACTTTATCAAATAAATTGTGTAATAGTGTGCGAAATTTCAATCAGATAATAAATGATGTGTGAAAATCAATCTACAGACGTATTTTATTTCTTTAATATTAATTACGTAAAAATATTGGCAATTTAAAAAAAGAAATTAGTTACGTTAAAATATAACATGTGCAGAATAATCACGTGCTTAGCAAACTTTTTAGAAACAATTAAATAAAGCATACTTGACACGTATGTTTTTTATAATAAATACATTATATAATAAATATATTATAAATACATTATAAGAAAATGATTTACTAATAGCAATTTTTTAATCAATAGTCTAGTTTATAAATCAGAAATCAAGTTAATATCGATTGATTTTTCGGACTGATTTGATATCGACTACATTTTCTTTGATTGATTTTCAAAGAAGATCGACATTTTATCAACTGCATCCAAAAGATCGATGTCAATGCTGTATCAGATCTTCTTTCGAAGATCAATAAAATATCTAGTAGATATCAAATCAAACACGAAAAAAAACACAATTGAAAATTTCATTGATTCAGCAAATCTACAGTCATAATATACAGACAATTTTCTATGTTAAAATAGCAAAGTTGACAGCTGAATAATATTAGCGATTTGTTAAACCAAATCTTCTTAGTTATCGATGTTGAATTCGCGTAGTAAATTATAGGTAGGTTTGCTGTACCAACCAATTAATTTTTTTCCGTGAATAGTTTTAAAAATCAATTGATTTCAAATTGACTTGTAAATCCGGATATACATGTAAATGCACGATATATATATATATATATATATATATATATATATAGTGCGTGCGTGCGTGCGCGCGTGTGTGTGTGTGCGTGTGCGTGTGCGTGTGCGTGTGCGCGCGCGCGCGCGCGTGTGTGTGTGTGTGTGTGTGTGTGTGATGTGTGTATACAGGGTTAGCAAGTAACGCATTATTTGTAACGTCGTTATCATTACAAGTTACTTTTTTCGGTAACGAATGGATAACGACATTACATTTTCTTCTGAGTAACATTCATGGTAACGCAATTACATTTTTGAGGTAACGATTTTATTAGTTATTTTTATCGTTACTTTATTTCTAATTACTTAAAAGTTTAGTAGTAATTATAGCTCTAGAAAACAGAAATGAAACATTAACGGTCTGGATCTCTATTCTCAAAAATATCGCATACGAAAAATTACGTGTAATACTATAATGCGTTACATATATGCGTTACATATACTATAGCATTTTCTTAGTTTTTCGTAGTATATGAATAGAAAATCGATGAATACAAAAATTTGTAATTTAGGTCCAAATTGTATTTATTCAAAATTTTCTCACAAAAAAAATATAACTATATTTATTCAAAATTTTGAGTTTTCAAAAAATATTTATTCACAAAAAACTATGAATATTTAACGAGTATTCATATTCATTCAAACAAAATATAAACTGAAAAAGAAAGCTCCAGTAAGCAATCGTTACCTCTTAACTATAACTGATACTTTAATGACTTTAAATAAAAAAAATGAATTTTATTTTTATTATTGTAATATTCAGATTTTATAAAGGAAACTTAGAAATATTGAAAAATATTTTAGAAAGATACATTTTTTATTTATCTATTTGATAGAGTGCCATACGTATTTCGATATAATTCCAGTTATATGATAATAATGTTATAAATATTTTATAGGATATTTTGGGCGCGACGTTCATTATGGTCTGTGGATATTAAATTTCGAGATTATTTATTCTCAATAAAAATGTCTTTATTTAACCTATAAGTTAAACAAGGACATCCATCGTCGCGGACTAAATGCACGTTGCACGGTGTAATTGTAGCCATTGTTTTTATAGATTTCTGTTTTCTCTTATAGGCTTGCAAGCTATGTGCAGATACAGAGTAAAAGTAAATATAAAATGAAAATATTCGTAATCGTATTAAAAAAATATTCATTCAATACAATAAAAAAATATTTATTCTATTGAATGAATATTTTTTTTTTGAATGAATATTTATTCGTTTTTTTTAATGAATAAAAAAGAAATGTATTCGAATAAATATTTTTATTCATTTATTCGAATATTAGGTGTATTCATCAAATACACTAGTTTTTCGTGCGACTTTTTGAAAATAGGGGCCCTGATTGGCTGTCACGCGATCACAATCTTTCACAATCACAGTTTTTTTTTCATTGTATCCACAGTTTTCATTGTATCCAGTTTATACGTATAGACTGAAACAGAGAGCACAGACTTTTGCATAATGCATAACACATAAAGCATAAGAAATTCAAGCAAATTCAGAGTTCTTTATTTCATGAAAAGGAAGGAAATGGAAGACTTTAATTGGTTTATTTTTTTATGTGCATTATGTGTTATGCATTATGCAAGAGTCTGTACTCCCCGTTTAACTCTTTATGTATTGCATGTGATGATGAGATCACGTAAGAGATTCTACGCCAACAAATATCATTGTGGAAAAAAGATTATATGATATAATCTTTATAGTATATTAATTTCTTAAAATAAATTTTTTTCTGTATCATATCTCAAATTAAATATATGTATGTAATGCAGATTACAAACAATATTATTTTTTTATTATAATATAATTTTACCCTTAGAGTATTCACAATGAGTCATTTGTATTTTGTTTCTTTTTTTCGAAATACTGCATCTGGCTGAATAATTCTTTCTATCCTTTTCTTCTTTTTAAATATACAACTTCATAAATATTTTTTAAAGATGTTAAAATATATATAAATATCTCACAATTTTTGTATATTTGTAAAAATTATAGAAATTAACCCATATATAAACGACCCATCATACACAATAAAAGAAAATATTGTATTTATATTAAGCGTTAAACGTATAATTTAAAGATATCTTATTAAAAGCAAATCAAAAAATAAATTGTAGTATAAAAATTACAAAAAAATGTAGTATATATTATGTGACATGACAGCATCTATTAGAAAGAAAGTAATGAAAAAATAACGACTCATTATATTTTGAGTATAACAGTAACGAATTATTTTTTAGGAAAAAGAACGGTAATAGTAATGAGTTATTTTTATAAGGTAACGTTGCCAACCCAGTATATGTATACATATATAAGGAATATTTATATGTAAGTATTGTTTTATTGATTTATTATCATAAACATTTACGGATATTTCAGTAATAGATAGACACATATTTATTAAAGTGTAAAGAATATGTTAAAATAGCACATTATAATATATAATTTCATAAATAATCCTACATGAGAATACATGAGAATACATACACCAAAATATTTTGGTGACTTAATATTTTCATGTGTAATAAATATAAAAACGAAAGATGAAAATTTATGAATATAGTAATTTATGATGATAGTAATACGATGAAATACATCAAAAATTTTTCTATCAGAGAGACGATTTCGATGATTTCGACGATTCACGTGCTTCCTCGATCCTTTGCGAATACCAAGTATTGAATAAAACATGTGCCGAACGTTCTGCTAATACGAGCAATATTATTTATTAATAAATTGTCCCGAGAATTTTTATCATAATAATTGAGACACTTCCGGTTCTCTTACAAGTAAAACGCTTGGCACGCAAAATTGATCTTATAACTGCAAAGAGTTAAAAATTGCGCATCTTCGCTTGTAATTACACATTAGATCCTCAACATTTCTCACTGACATTATCTGTACATATTTGCGTAACTTTTGCCGCTCTTGTCGCTTAACGAACGAGAGCTTTACGCGAGCTTTCTCGCTATTGCCACAGAATTTGTAATTGGACGTACCTGCATTTATTTCACAATTAACACTTTGAATCATTTTTCTACCGCGAGTGTCAAGGAATATAATGGAATGATTTATTCATGAATGTCGATGTTCAGGAAAATTGAAATCGATATAATTTCAATGTTACAAATGAACCAAGATATATTTATTTGTAGCTTACATTACATAGAAACGTCTAAAGTCTAGAATCATCTTATAATATACTA